TAGGAATACGGTGACATAACCAAAGCAGATCTATAATTACCAGCCATCTCCAGTGAAGCCAAGAAAACCAGTTAGGCACCAAAGGGAGCATTCTTAACTGTCCTTTTTGATGCCTGGTATAGTCCTGAACGAGGTATTCAGAAAAACATGTTGCTTCTTTGATTTATTGAAAAGTAATTTACCAATGAATGTCGGAAGTTACAGAATTTGCCTTTTGTTTATCAACCATTTTCTCCAAAGAATTAAGTGGTTCTGTGTAGAGAAAAGAGCTTGGGTTTTGAATTCAGATGGACTTCCATTACCAGCCTGACTGGCCATAGATTTTGGGAAATATTTAAACTTATTGAGTCTTGGTTTCCTTGTTTCTAAAATGGGGAACAAATGAAGATTGTCTTGTAGAGTTGTTATAAAGATTAAGCAAGATTTTTATAAATGGAGCCATTGAGCTCAGTGCTCATCACATAGCAGGTACTCAGAAAGTAAAATTAGTTCCCTTCTTTTAGCCTTACTTGATCATAACCATTGGAGATAGATAGATAGATAGATAGATAGATAGATAGATAGATAGATAGATAGATAGATAGCAGTAAGAGATACAACGTGAAACACTAGGCATGTAAATTCTCAAAGAAAACAATTATATTTCTAGTTTAAATTTTACCTCTAAATGAATTCAGTGCTATTAGTCAAATAACACCTAAAACTTCATTTTCTATGGTTGATTGCCAAAATCAAAAGGTGAAATTTCATAACTAAAAAATTTTAACAATTGCAACAAAGAATAGCTTTAAAATCATAGTAAAAATTAATGCTTAATTTATAAATTGTCTGAAGTGACTGTGCTTTATTTTTATAGAGTTGAATTTATAAATGAATTGCATTTTAATGAAGTTGAAATAAAATTCATTTGTCCATTCTGACTGATGTGAGGTGACATCATTGTGGTTTTGATTTGTATTTCCCTGATGATTAATGATGTTGAACATCTTTTCATGTGCCTGTTGACAATCTGTATGTCATCTTTGGAAAAAGGTCTGTTCATCTCCTCTGCTCATTTTTAATTGGGTATTTATTTTTGGGGTGTTGAGTTAGAAAATAAGTTTTTAATGGATATCCATATGGAAAAGAATTACCTTGATCCCTACTTCACACTGTAACACAGATAATAATGTGAGTTGGATCTTAGGCCTAAATGTGAAAAACATTTAGAATCATAAAGCATTTAAAAGAGAAAAAAGGAGGCTATTTTTATGACTTTGGAGTAGGCAGCAATTTCTTTTAATTTTAGCTTTATTGAGGTATAATATAATTGACATACAAAATTATAAGATAATTCCAAGTCCTCCCTATTTCCTCTACCCATCAAGGCAATTATATCTGATAACACAAACCATAAAAGAAAAAAGTTGAATAATGGGCCTTATCAAAATTGAAGACTTATCAGAAGACACTGTTAACACATGACTAAGGGATCATACTCAGAATCTGATTTTTAAATCTGATTTTTAGAAAGAAGCTAAACAATCCAGTTAAAAATGAGCAGAAGGCTTGAATAGACACTTCTCAATTTGGTTATTAAATAACATTAATAACCAAATTAATATTTTTAAAGACAAGAATGTGCAAGAATACAATACAATACTATGTGGACACTGAGAATCTACACTTATTAAAATGGAAAGATGTTATAGGATATTTCAGGCTGTAAAACAGTATGTATGGTATACTATTTATGTGAAGTTATAGTTTTATGTTCATTTATATACATAGGAAAATAGTTGGAAAGAAGTTCACAGACACTGAAATAAGTATAACCTGTTTTTCCCCTCTAGGTTCTTGGGTCTAATGTATTGATGTTGAGAGCCCATAGCATCCAAGGGCTATCTCCCAAGCCTGGAAGAACAGTCCTAGCCCTGGAAAAGAGAACTTCATATCATAACTTTGGTATGAGAGTCCACTGTTAAAAAAATCAGAGCTTTTAAAAGTACAGTGGCTTATGGCCCTGTAAGAGTGATGTAACTGCTCATTAGCAGTTGTAATTGCCAGATATACACTCATTTATCTGGTGGAAAATTGTTAAAAGTTATTCAGAACAGGTTGTTTATTTGTTTGTTGGAGCTAGGGTCTTGGACTTTTTCCTTGTAATTAAAGAAAATTTACCTAGTGAATATATAGAAAAATGCCATATCTCTCACCTGGAAATTTAAGATGTAAATCTACCTAGTAGGTGCCTACTATCTGCTTATAGTCATAAATTCATGAATCACTGCAAGGAAAGTAGTTGAGTGTCCTATAAGGTGTGTCTTTTAAGAAGAAGACATGTGACAGGATTTCAGGGCTCAATAGAAAAGCTGAGGGGAGGGAAGGGGGCAGGCATCAATGTCTGGCTGAGGCTGTGCAAATGATTCCTTCCTCAAGGATCTTGCAGTGTAATAGGAAGGGGGACCTGTAAACAGTAAGAGGGATATTTACTATAACTGTCGTGTTGGAACTATACACCAGATAGTGGTAAGAGACAGCAGTTTGTTCTAATTGAGAGAAAACAATAAAGTTGTGTCGTGAATGATGAGTAAGATTCACCAGGTGGACTTAGTGAGAGAGGACCTTTCAGACAGGAACATGAGCAAGAGACCTCTAAATGGGAAAGAGCCTGACCTGATCTGTTAAAAAATGTTTGTCCATGATCTTGCCCTCTAGTCTGGAGACTTAGAAATGTGATCTAAGGAATATTGGCACTAGACAAGGCTATATAAACTCAAATATTGATGTGTTAAGAATTATGATTTCCAAGTGGACTGTGCCTTCTTGTTTTAAAATGTCAGTTTTATTATTCAGGTATGGTGAGGCCAACAGTTGAGGAAACAATTGTCATTGAAAAGATAGTTTGTTACAGTTCCTAAGAGGAGGCAGACATACCACTTCACGCAGGGCCACATGGGGAAGCACCAGGGTCTGTCTGGAGGCAGAGGGAGTGAGGGGAAAACATGGTCAAGAGCCTTTAATATGGTTTCTGTGGAAAGGAATGGGTGAGGCAGTAGGGTAAGCAGGTTTAGGATTAGCTGTTTTAATAATTTCAGTGGGCCCTGGGGTGAAGAAGCTATTTCTAGTTGTCAGTACCTGACCCTGGGTTGATGAGGGTGTGGACCAGTGGCCTTGGGTGTGAGAGCCCTGTGGGAGCCTGATGAAAGGGGTTTGGAGAATGAGCTCTGAATCCGTTGGTTTGCATCTGAAAGATGTACTGCTAGAGCAGTTTGCTTTCTATCTCCAGGAATTAGCTCATCCTGTAGGAGCAGACCCTCTAGTGTCAGCACTCTTCAAGATATCAAAGCATCAGAAAACACAAAAAATAAAAACCATGGTCAATACAATTGTCATCACTCTGACACGTTCTTTCTTTCCTTTAAACAAGCTATATGGGAATCAAATTAATAGGCTACATAATAAATATTTAATCAGAATAAGGGAAGTTAATTTATCATTGAGATTTTTAAAGTTCCATGGATACCTGATGGGTGCATCTTCAACAAAGACTGTGCCAAGTAGGTGTTTGCCATCTTATCTTCCCTGGGCTCTGCGTGGATGGGTGCTGTCAGCATTAGTCTTTGTAACTGGGGTTGCCTTATATTCTCCACAAAATTACCCTTACCATCTATCATTATTAGCTGTACTCTTTGGAAATCTTAGCCATAAAACTAAGAATATTTGTAAAACTAATGAATTAAGTGTCATCATACCTTTAAGTTAAAGTTAAATCATACTTTTCTGTTAAGTTAAAATACAACAGATATATCTGTATCTGATTCCTGTTGCAAACATCTGTGACTTACCATTAGGATCCCAGAGGTACATTCTGCTTAGTAGAGTGAAAAATCCCATGGGATGGCTTTACAACTAGGCTCAGACTACTTCAGCCCCTAAAATGTTCTTGGGACTGATAGAACTAAAAACTCTCCCAAATATGGCCAGCAGAGTTTTAATCCTATTAATATATTTTTCAAGTTGGGATGAGCATAGCAACAAAAGTTATTCTTCTTTAGTTTCTATTTATTCAATAAAGTAAGATATGAGGTATAATTTCTCTTGAGATTTGTTGAAATATGTATCATTAGAATCTGAAATAAATAAAAATCAGTGATAATCAACATGACATTTAAAATCTTTATTGATACCATTTTGCTTATAATATTTTACATATTCTTCCAAACTGTTGCCTTATAACTTAGAGCCAAGCCCTTTTCTCAATATTAAAGTTTGCAAAAAGCATTGTTATATAAACATCAGGTACAACTCTAGGTTCTGAATCAAAAAATCTTTTTAATGTAATTAATATTAATGTGCTTCAAAACATTAAATGGAAAACCTCCATTATTTTTTTCAAATAAAACCCACAAGGAATTAAATAACTATGTACACTACAACTTGCTTATATCAAATTACCAAGAAAAGCATCATGTCAGTTAGGATCTCCTCTACTGATAGAGGGCAATGAAATAACATTGATAAGACAATCATCAAATTTATACTCAGGTTTTGTGTACTTTAATTTATTCTTTGTTGTAAAGCTGCTAGATTGAAATAAGGATTTTTTGTATAAATACTGTATTTTGAAATCATATAGGTAATATAGTCATTGTATAATATTTTATGGTAGCATGGTATTCATTAATCTTGTTAGAAGTTACTCACAGATACTAAATATTAGATGATTGGAACATTGCACTAAGGAAATTACCCTTACTTTACTTACTAAGTAAATGTCTAATAATTATATATCAGAAATAAAGATATTAATACTGATTGAATATTTAGCACATTTTGTAATTAAGTTTCTACTGGCTTTCTTAATTTTAGCTAACCTAAGATAATCTAATTATCAAGTTTTCTTTTTTAAAATGAAGCAAGCATTTAGTTTCTATTTGTGATAAATCCCAAACTTTGTAATCTGTTTGTTCTTAGAAAAACAAGAATAATTTGATATAAGTGAAGAGGAATTTTTAACTTTTCTATTATCATTCACTATTATCATTCAGTGGAAAACTATGGATAGGCTTCAAAAAATAATAACAGCAATTAAGAGATATGGAGAAAAAAGAATGCCATATGATAACATTTAAAAAGCAAATAAAGCAAAAAACAGCACATGAATACTCGGCAAAGATTATGATTAGCTTGTAAAACTCTGACTTGCTGTTTTGACACTGATTAAGCTGACACAGTGAATATTAGCTGCCCAGTCTACTATAGTGGTTGACCTTTTAAAATTTTAATTAGATTTCACTTACCTAGAGTCAAGGTGTTTTAGGAATTAGTTAATTATTTCTTGTAGCTTAGGTTTATTGATCAGAGAGCGTTTTATGGCTGTCAGTTTTCATTTAAGCTTTTGGCATTATGCAAAATTACAGTTTTATTTATTGACTTGAAATTTTTAAAAAAATTATTGACTTGAGTGCAATGTTGCCTACTAAAATATTTGGAAAGTCTGAAATTAAAAAAAAAGTTAACTCTAACATCTGTGACCTTTCTTTGCTGATTTTTATTGAAATTAAAAACTTGGACTACATGGAAGTTCTTAAATATTGGAGGTTTTGAGAAAAATCACTTTACTAAATAACTTTGTTAGAATTCCCTTCACGGAAACTATATTATTTGTGTGTCCACAATACCTAGTATGATACACAGTACATTTTGATTTCCTTAACTTTTATGGGCTAATCAGTTACAAGGTTTAAAGGGATGAAGATTTGAGATTTCTTCTCAAGTTGTTTTTCTGATATAGATATTTGAACAAAATGTGTTTTCTAGCCATCTCTTAAAAATTTACTAATTGCTTGATTTGTTCTGTTTGCAAAGATTGTCTCCTGAACAACATTTTTTTACTTTTGAATTCTTTAGGGAAAATAGGAACTGTTGGCATAAACACTTTTTGACCACAAGGAAGAAGGCTGGAAATCTTGTTGGCATTCATATCTGAGATGAGAGGGTGAGGATTCACATTTAAGGGGGGCAGAAATCCTGGTCTGGTTTGTGTAATACCGTGATCTAAAGGGAAAGCTCCTGAGCCACGCCTTTCTAAAAGTGCATGATTTCTCCTACTCAGGGGACCTAGGGGGATATTTTCCAACAGTTCTTTGGATCCCGACAACAAGGAAGGAGATGGTGAGAGGATCTTTTTCTTTCCTGTAAGTGCTTTGCCATCTTCTAAAGTTGTAGGGATTAGACCAGCTGAGAGCTGGGAGTCAGAGCTGTAGTGATTTGCCCCAGAGTTTCTTTTTTGAACTATACTTCTTAAGGTAGAAGCAAATATTGTCTGGTTAGAGTCTGGATCCTGGTCAGCAGGGATTTCAATGCATTGCTGACTTCCCTCTGAAAAAAAGGATTGATAATTTATTTCATCATAAGACATCTTTCTTGAGCTGGCCTGATCAAAGGCTCTTAGCAAATGAGCAGTGTCTTTTACATCAATACTTTGGTGCCTAGTGATGAATCTCTTGGAAAGTGCCAGCCCATTGGTTTTGTAGGATAATTCTTCCTCTGGAGTAATATCCTGGAGCTCCTCTTGCAAGGAGGCCACTCGGTTCTGATGCATGAATGAGGGAGGACTCTTGATCCAGGGTGGAGCCTGGGGGATCTTGGGCCCATTAGGGGCCATAGCAGGCTTTCTCCCCGGGGAGCCTGGGTCCCCTGTATCATCACTGTTTCCTGAGAGCTCCAGATCTTTAAAGCCAAAAAGTGTCATTTCAGTTTCAGAAGAATGTGAAAGTGGCAGTGAGACTGTTTTTATGTCTATTTCTGAAGGAGTAGCACAGGCAGCTGGGAAGTGACCCCCACCTGTATCTGCAGGAGGCATATTTAAGTACTGTTTGGTAGTGTGCCTACCAGAGGGTGATTTTGCTGTTGTTATTATAATGACCTCTTTCCCTTTTGCCTTGCAAGCACTAAGCAGAACTTTGAGGGTCTCTCTGTCTTCTGAATTTATAGCATACACAAGGGCTGAGTAACTAGAATGGTCTTGCAAACTGAGGTCAGCTCCACTGTTTAGGAGCAAAGAAACAACTTCAGGACCAGCTTTTTCTAGGCAAGCGTGCATCAAAGCAGTTTTCCCAGATTTGTCCTGTATGTTGGGATCAGCATTATTTTCTAACAGGTATTTAACCATTTTGGCTTTACTGACACTCTGGTGATCAACATGTTTGGTCTTACAAGCGATCATTAAAGGTGTTTCCCCACGGTCATTGCTTTCATTAATGTAGGCACCACCTTCTAGCAGGAGTCTTGTGAGGCGAAGCCGGCTCTGATGGACTGCTTTGATGAGGGAATTTCCATCACTTGAAATCTCTACACCTTCATCCATCTTCAAAAGTTAGAATCAATACCTGGTTATCAAAGAAGACGAAGAACAAAAGATTAGCCAGAATCAATGGTTTGATTTATATTCATGTTTTTATTCAATTTTTAAAGTGTGTGTACAGAAGGACACAAATGAGATTATGTTATTAATAAATACACAACAAATAGTGAATTGCAAAAAAGAAATTTTAGGATAGTAACAACCTTTAGGGAATTATAAACTACATTTACTTTCAAAATGTTCACTGAGTATTTATGATATAACATCAACCTAGTACTTCCCTAAATCCCATATTAATTAAGCAGTGATCCACTTAATTTTACTTGTGAAAAATATTTTTAAAATAACACTAAAATGCAAATTTAAGCAAAAAAGCCAGAATTTTGTGTAACAGCAACTGAGTCAATTAAAATATAACATGTTTACAGTAGTTTAATACAAAAACTTCTTGTATTAAATTATTTAAACATGCTCTAGTTAAATAATGCAACTAATACTTAGATTTTCAATTTTATAGGGAATTTCTGTTTCTTTTAAAGGATGAAAAGTATTTGGATTATAAGACATTAAAGTTACTGACAAGATGTCTGGAATTCACACTGAGGTAGGAATGGTAATGTGTGATTATGTATTTTTCTTGATCCCATCATTTAAATCATAAACTGACTAGATTATGGGGTTAGCAACATACTGTTGGGTTAAATTTTGACAGCAGTACATTTTCTCTGAAAAAGAAGTTTTCTAGGCTAGAAAAGTGAATGAAGACATGGAGACTTCATAAACATTTCATTTTTTTATCATTAAAACTGAAAATTATATATGTTTATTTTTTAAATTTAGATTCAAACTCCTTCAACAAATAATTCTATTAGTTGATAAGAATTTTGAATTTATTTACCTAGAACTGAGGAAATATTTCTTTTAATAGTCCTTAGCTCTAGGGAGAAAAACAAATGATGTTTATATAATATTTACATCTGTTTAATTAGGTGGCTTTTAGAAACTAAGAAGTATTATTCATTATACTCATTTATTTTTAAAATGAAGGCTATGGGACATGAATTTCAGTTGGATAACAGAATACATAATACATATAATGATCTCTTAACAGAAGAAGATAGCAGAAAGAAAGTGAAGAAAAAGGGGCAAGATAGACACACACACAGAAATTGATTCAATTGTTAAACAGCTATAAACTAAAATGTGCCGGACACTGAGCTACAAAGATACAAGCCCTAGCCCTGAGGAGCTTGCATAGTTGTTTAGAAGAGATACTACATAAGCAGCTGGTTATGAGTTAAAGTCATGAGAACCTCCAGGCTTAATGGCATGGGACTGAAGGGGGGCCTTCAGACGCCAGTCATTTGAGCTGGGTCTTGAAGACTGCCTAAGAGTTTGGTAGGCAGACAAAGAAGGAAGAGAGGAGAGGACATTCCTTGTGCAAAAACCTAGAAAGTTAAATAGCAAAATTATTTGTCATAAATCAGGCTTTATTTATGCCAATATACCAAACTTTAGGAAAATATTTTAGCAGATGGTTATAGTTATGGTGAACATGGCAGAACACAAATATCTAATTTTGCCCCTTCCTGAAACCCCCTAAAACTAAATAATTTTTAATAAGACATAAGTTCACAAAGATAACAGGAAAAGGAGAGAAGATGGCAGTGACATTTTGGAAGGCAGAAAGCAGCTGGGCCAGTGGTAACTGACTTGGCCAACCTGCAAAGGCTGTGCCTTGAGTCACTGGTGGGAGAGCTGAGAACTAAGCCCATGTACACTATAGACTTCGAGAGAGGCAGCAGCAGGCAGCTCTAGCTCTTGGGGGTGGAGAGTACAGCTAAAGCAACGAGGACTAGGTGAAAAGCTGCTGGAGAAGCAGTTAGATCCCCAGGTCCTTGCTGCGGGAAGTGTGAACCTACCTGGGACCAGCAGAAGCGGGAAGTAAAGCCTGTTAGAATGCAGCCTAGACTGCACCCTAGACCTCCTAAATCACAGCCTACATTTTAAGTAGATCCCCACATTAAAGTGTGAGAGGGACTGCCTCAGGTCATTCCTTCACTCCAGGCCACTCATACACAGGAGACTGTACCTCTCTCTTGAGCAGATGGCCAGAGGTTTGTGCTCCAGAAATGGTGGAACAGAGGGTCTCTAGACTGGGAGAGACTTTCCATGTAAAGGACAAGAATGTGGAGGAATAAGTGATTGCATGTTTACTGACCACAGAACAAAGGGACTCACAGCCTCCTTCCCCAACTCAGCTCCAAGACAGCTGGTAGAAATACCCTTGTCCTCAGAAGAAAATTGCTATTCTTTTCTCTCAGGAATTTGCCCTGCCTAGGAGAAACTACCTGAGTACTGACCACGGAGAATCCCCAACATGCCAACAGATCATCCCACAGTAAAGCTTAAAGGTAACAAGTCTCACCCATGTGTTCGAAGCTTCCCATCAGCTTCTTAATCCAAGCCCTTTAATCATGAGCAGGCAGTCAAAACACAACAAAAACCAACAGAAAACCTCTTACATTAAAGACGGAGATCAGAACAAATAGAAAAAAGCAACTTGGAGAAAACAGATCTTACTCAGGAAAATTACTCAAAAGCTCATTGTCCTCAAAGGGATAAGAAGATTAAGAAGATGTTGTGACCGTAAGAGAAGAATAAAAGCCAATGAGAAAAGGAATATTCAGAGATCATAAAAAGAAAACTCTCAAAAGGCAAAAACATGACACAAACTGCAAAACTTAATAGAGGGTTGGATGATAACGCTAAAATCTCTAACACGGTCAAGCAAAAAGAACAGAAGAGAAATAAATAATAAAATTAGAGGACTAGACCAGGAAATCTAACATCTAACTACTAGACATTCTGGCAAGAGAAAATAGTGGGAGGTGGGAGGAAAGGTGAACAGGAGAGGAAAGGATGAATGAGATCAAGAAAATTTTCTAGACTTGAGGGACATGAATTCCAAAATTGAAAGAGTTGAATTAGAATATAGCATAATGAAAACATACCTTGAAATTAACAAAACCGGCAAGCACTTGTAAACTCCAGAACACTAAGAGAAGATCCCACAAGCTTGGGGGCAGGGGGTAAACAATGGTGTAAATAGTCACATGCTAAAGGATCAAGAATTACAATGGATTCAGATAGATCAACAACAGTGAAGAATGGAGGAATGTCTTTAAAAATCTGAAGGAAAAACAATTCCTGGCTTAGAATTCCACATCTAGCCAAACCATCAGTCAAGAATTGAGAAACACACTCAAGAATCAACTGGAGAATGTAATTCACTAAGATGAAATGCTAGAACAAGAAAGAAGAAACCAGATACCAGAGGTTGGAGATCACCATAGGGGAGAGGCATAAAAAATCCCCAGGAAGATGGTGAAGGACCAGGATAAAGGGTATGAACAGAACATTATCTCTGAGATCTGCCATTTTATCTTCTTGTTTAACTGGAGACCTAATGCGTAGGTGAACCTTCCCTTACTTCTTGTCTCTACTTGCTTTGTTCTGAGTCCTAGGGTTAAATTGTGGTGAGTGTAGGATGAGAAAGACTGAACACCCATTCCCTGTGGATATTCCACACCTCGTCTGCCCTGCAGCCCTGCCAGAAACCCTGTAATGGTGAGGCCCATATTTCCCAGGACTCACTCATGACCTTGCACAGATGGGGCCCTTGTATGTGTTCAGGGATACTGAGCCAAAGTAAAATCCAGAAACTTCAATATATCTTCTCCTGAAAGCTTTCATTACATAGTAGTAATTTTGACCTTTATTCATCTAATTTTGTGCTTGCTACCCAGTTTTCCAAAAATAAGTAATTAATTTACTTAAGAGTCATACACAAGTGGGAAACTTGAAAAGAGAAAAGAAAAATAAGCAAAGGGAGTGATTAATACAAAAGTCACAATAAAGTTACTTCTTGGTGGCGGTAGGGAGAACAATGCTATCTGGGATGAACACAGATTTTTAAGGTTCAGATTACGTTCTGTATCTTAATCTGGGTGGTGTGTGTATGGGTGTCCATTTTATTCTTAAAACAGTACATATTTCACATACTCTTCTGCAGGATAGTATTCATCTATTTATTGTAAAATAGAGCATATACACAGAAAAGGAAGCATTTATCTAAGAAATGTTTCATAATTAAAATTTAAAAGAGCCATATTCTTACATTTTACAACATAATTTAGTTTTTGTAGTATCATCAATAGTATTTGTGCCTAGAATTTCAAGGAGTTTCAACCAGTAAGCTCCTGAAAGACAGTATTCAAAAGAATGTACTTACTCAGTTTAGTATCATTCATGATGTTACAAAGAACCTACTCAGAATATACATACATAAATACATGAAAGTGAATGGTGTGATTTTTGCCTCTTGTGCAACATTCTTTAAAAGCTATTCCAGAGCTAGACATACCTGCAACTCAAGAAGTTAGTAATTTAGGATTGATTGACAGCTTGGATTCCAACTCAGAAGTCTATTCTGAATGCAAAACATTTGGAAAGAGCTCATCTGAGAAAATCATCACAAAAGAAACTGTCTTTTAGCATTTTTCATATACAAACAGGCTTAATAAAGCAAAGAGATTTAGACAAATGAGCTGGAACATAATACCAAATATAGAAACCACTTAGTAAGTGCAATTCAGGAAGAGATACAGCATCAATCATGTAAAAACACCTTTGACCAAAAGTGGCATTTGAGAAACAGATATTCAAATGAGAACAAATTGCCAGATACCAGTCAATATTATACCCTCCTATAGTTTACAATATTTGGGTCAATCTTGTTTTAAAAAAGAGTCTTATAAGAATCTTTTGGAATGATTTAAACCTTTTCATCTATTCTCATGCAAAGGCCTTCCTCCACAACACTAAACCTGACCACTTTTTGTCATAACTCCTCTCACCAAGGTTGGCGTCATGAGGTTCTGGAAGAAGAGGTGGGGAGCCTGAGGTGGGCAGTGGTCCCACTGTGGTCCTGTGGAGAGGGAGAGTGCTGTGGGCTCCAGGCCTCGGAAAGTAGTAACTAGCGAATCTATCTGCCATGTGGACATAAGCAGACCCCTTCCCCTGAGTACTAGAGGACTCTCTGGCAAAAACAACAAAGGCTTGCCCTTGGTTATAAAGACTTCTAAAGCCCATTGGATCACCCACTTTTAAAATTATTCCCATTCAGTAGAGAAAATTTGAAATTATTTAAACATTAATTTTTTCAGACAAAAAAAGAGGTCAGATATTTTATTCTCCACATGTATACATGTTTGACTTCCTGGTATCTCATTTTGTAATCACTACCTTATTGGAATAATGCCCTTGTCTTCATGCCTTCACCTTCTTCCAGATCTTTTATTTTGCCTCATCCATTTGCACATCAAAAATGCTGATCCTGAAGTGTGACTTCCCCACTTACTCTTCATAGAGGTAAGTGTTACCTGTGATGAAGACCATTCCATAGCCTACTATTATAGTTGAGATATCCTTTAAGTGCATATTCCTTATAGTTTCCAAATACAATAGTTTCAGCATTATTATAAGATATTAAACAGCTTGATGAATTGCTTTTTATTTTTAAATTAGAATATCTTTAACATTACTAGCAATTCATCATGGCATAGTTACTAATACTCTTTTAGTGCCTTAAGACCCTATTCTTAAGACCCCAGTAAAATTACAGTTTATTTTTTAAAATTAAAAATGTATATTCTGAAGAACAAAAAACAGGGTGAGTGATATCATCAGATGAACAATTTTGAACAAGCTTTGGAAAAAGAGGGAGATGGTGGTGTGGTAAACTGCCTTAGCATAGCACCTGGGGAGGTGTCACCCGATGAGAAGGGAGCTAGCTTACCCACAGAATCCATGAAGTTTGGGATTTAGAGGTACCACGTGACACAGAAAGTGGCAGTGAGGCAAAGGGCTGAAAGGGAGAGGATGATTCAGAGTCTGTGGATAGAACAACTGGATCACAGGTACTTTACCCCCAACTGAGTAGACAACCACTCTTACAGGAGAGAAAACAAAGATTTATCCTCTGAAGAGAATAGGCCCCAAACTTGGAGGCAGTATGCTGGAAACAGGGGATAAAGTGAGAGTCTATAGGCTGAATGGTGGGATTTCCAGCTGTCTGCTCTGCTACCAGCAGACTGGAAGCCCGGAAAAGAAAAAGCACTGGACCTTAGAATTAAAGCATTATGAAGAATATCTGTCGATAAATGAAGCAATTCAAACCATAACTACATTCACCTCTCCAGACACCCACTCTAAATGGAAATAGAAAGTTACCTGAAAATGTTTTTCAAAATTTCATACTTCACTTATGTCTTTTCTCTCCCTGGATGAGTTTTTTTGTCAGCCAGCTGTCAGTTCCTACTGAAGGAAATCAAAGCTATTCAGTTACATAAATACTAATAATTTGTTCTACACATCTCTCTAATATGCCATTTTATCATCTTGTTAAAGACGAGTTCTTTAATTCCATGCTAAGACATTATATGTTTGTTCGGTTAATCATATTTCACTGATTATGAGTCTATAAAAGAGTCTGGTGTGGATCCTCTGCATGGTAATCATGTGTGTGTGTGTGTGTGTGTGTGTGTGTGTGCGTGTGTGTGTGCACGTGCGCATGCGTGCATGCACACCTGCAGGGCTCAGCTTATCCTGCAAGGATGCTGAGGTTGGAAGGACCATGGCACTACCTGGGCCAGCCCCTACTCTGTGCAAACACGGAAGCTGAAGAAGGAAATGGGGGCGAACTCTCCCAAAGTCACTCCTCTTACCTGCTCACCAGGACTTAATTAGATGTTCCTTTGTCCCTTCTCTTCTGGTTACTGCTTCTTGGATAGCACCTTCCCACAGAATAGGGTTCTGTTTTGAGTACCTGATTTGTGTTATATCTAACACAGCAGTGCCATGTGGGCTGAGCTGCTTTAAGAGACATCTTGTAGGTGTGAGGCTTGGCCTTTCCTGTGGCTTTATCTCCCCAAGCCACCCCCAGTATTCCTTTTATTCAGAGAAATGTTAATTTTTTGTGAGCCTCTTAGCCCACCTCTAAACAGGATCGTACTTGCCATGAAGTTAGTTGTCAGTTCAGGAGGGAAGCACCGCAGGGTGGAAATTAGCAAATGCTTTCAAGCTCAAAATTCAACCCTTCACCGTTGCCCCAGGTTGCCCTATCTAGTGCTCCCCACAAGGGGACCAGAATGTGCTCAGAGGAGGCAGCAGGCTGTGTCTCTTCCCAAATTACCAACCCTTGGGAAGCTATTCTTCTGAGCCTCAGTTTCCTCTTAACCTAAAGTGGGGATATGTACTTTATAGATGATAAATGTGAGGTTTTCAAAAGATTCTAATACACCTGCCACTTAGGAATTCAACAAATGTTGGTTTCTAAACGTACATCGTACATCACTAGATGTGAATCCCCTGGAGGGTAGGGTCTGACAATGGGCAACCAGGGTGCCTATACCAGTGGGTCCTCCACCTTCTGTGGGCAAAGAGTTCCATGGAGAGACTGTTAAAAATAAGAGTTCAGGCTGCACTCCCAGATATTCAATAGGGAGTGCTTGCTGTGCACACTTGGAGAAACTGCAATAAGCTCTCATTTCTGTTTGCTATCAGCCCCTGCCTCAGGCTCCCACTAAGCTGTGTCCCTCATCATCTCCAAGGGTCTGATGCTCAGCTCTCCTGCTGCAGAGATAACTGAAGCACTGAGCCATTAGAGGAGGGACACAGGAACATGGCCTAGAGAGGGGTAAAGGGAGCCCACAGGTCTAGAGAAGAGTACAGCCTTGAGCTAGAATGGGCTAGGGACTGGAGGTCTGCTGTCCTGCCCTTCCCAGACAGGTTTGAAAACCTCCAGAGTTGCAGCGGGCAGCCCAAGGCCTGGATGCAGGGGCCAGTGGCACTTGGACCAAGACAAGCTTGACTGTCACAAGAAAAATATGTGTCTCCTCCACACAGAAAGGAAAGGGGCAGCCCCAGAACAAAAGGTGCATCTGAGATTGTCCTAGAAAATGTAACGACTTACCAGGAAAAGTGTCTTTCCTCTGGCACCGGCTTGTAAAAGATTTTTAGAAACTGCCCAAAGAGAGAAAAAGCTGGTGGTGTTCCCCAACCCCACCCACTCCCCGCCCCCCAAAGAGCTGGTGTCTTTTAGTTACTTCAGCTGTCCCCAGGCCCCTGGAGCAGCTACACCTCCACCTCTCTCAGCAGACCCACCCCCCTCCCAGCACACACACATACAGACACGCACCTATACGTCCAAGTCTCTCAGAAGCAAGGTGATGGGATTTCCAGGCTGTAGAGGATTCTCGCAGCGCCTCCACTGTACCCCGCTGGCTCCAGGAACCGAGCTCGCTTCTTCAGTTTTTCCTGAGAGCTGGAGGGAGTGAGCCCGAGGTGCTGTCGGAGAAGGGCAAAGGAAGGTGACTGGGGCGACAGTGCCGGGGCACTGTGGGGGGTGGAGTGCGCTTTTCGTCACCTCGTCTCTGAGCAGAGACAGGCAGCTGATGAACTGAAGCGATCGACACCTAGGAGAAGGGGTTTTGCCCAGAGCCGCTGCAGAGCGGTCCCCACACAGCCTGCCCGGATGACGCGGCCCTCCCTTGGGAAATGGCGCTCCCGCGGGGAGCAGCCATTGCCCCCATCCTGGGGCAGGCGCACCTCAGGACTCGGGTCTCCGGTAAAGGGTCCGGGGTCCTGGCGCCAGGGCTGTGTGGGCCCAAGAGGCGCCCAAGGACCGGGCTGCTTACCCCTGCGTGGCTCCCATTTGTCCAGCCCCTCCGCGCCCATCCCGCACCTCAGCCGACTGGCGACAGGAGGCACCTGCAGAGACGCGCCCAGTTCGGACCCTCCGACCCGCGCGCTCCTGAGGCCGAGCGCGCGCCGTTTCCGCAGCAGCGGCGACCGGTGCCCCTGAGCTGCTGCCCGAATCCTCCCCGACATCCCGCCGCCGCGGGCTTCCCGCATTTATTCCCCGGCGCTGCAAGGCCAAGGAGGAGGTGAAAGCCGCATCCCGCTAGGGTCCAAGCTGGAACTGCAGCAAATCCCGAACCGAGAACCGGCAAGAATTTCGGGAGGCGCGAGAGTAGTCTCGCGAAGAGCGCGCCCCGATATGACGGGACATGGTCTCTGGACAGGTGCCTGCACCCGCCGGCCCACGGTTGGTGCCGGGTCTCGGTCCCCGCTCGGGGCATTGCAGTGTCAGGGCACGGGAGATGCGGGCTCCCAGGGCCTGAGCGCTCCTGGCGGGGCGCACGGAGGCCGTGGGGCCCTGGGCTGCGCCCTCGATGCCCTGCTCCAGGCAGCTAACATGGAAAACCAAAGTTTCTCCAAGTGCAGCCTGCAGAGATGGTGCCGCACACTGACCTGGGACGAGCTGTCGAGGCGGCGGCAGCGTCCCCCACCTTCCTGGGTCGACTCGGACCCTCCGCGCTGGTGACCCCAGGGTGCCGTCCCGGCTGGGTTATGGTATTCGGCTGCTCCTCTGCGACTGTAGTCGCAGATCCCGGTAGGTGCCGCCCTGTCCCCGCCCCTGCTCGGAGGAGAGAGGCGGGCGGCGAGCTCCTAGCCGCGAAGGTTGGAGCGGGGGCCCGAAGACGCGCACCTAGCGAGACGCCCTGGCGGCGCGGCGTTTCCGCTGGGAGTGACGCGCCCGCTCCGGACTGCGCTGCATGTGGGGGGCAGCAGGGTCAAAGTGTCTTCGGACCTGGGGGGCCAAAGTCTAGTCTCCGAAGCTCCGCTTTCTGTTGGAAGTTCTCCCCCCGCCCCTCCATTCCAACACACACACACACTCCCTGACCCGGCCACCCCCTTTTGACCCGGGCGACCTGATCAGGAGCAGGAAAGGCAGTGTCTTCCCCACTGTGGGGAGACAGCCACCCTTGTATTCATGGCCTCTGGTTCCCCCAGTTCCTATCTGCATCCCTCCCCTCAGTTCATATCCACGCTGCTGGTCCGTGTGTTTGTCCCCACGGGTCCTTCTTCCCCCTTCCTGTCCCGGTACCCACTTTAGACAAAACCAGAGCCCCACTTTAATTTGGGGTGTTGGTGGGAGCAACCATTCTTGTTTTTGTTTTATGAATTTATAACTATTACCCTATTATTAAATTTTAACAGTTGAACAAATATCACGATATATATTTTATGTGTTAAACTTCACTGCAGGATAAGGAGAGATTAAAATTAAGAAGCAATGGTTTTAACTTTTCGTTTATCAGGGATCATCTCGGTGGAGAAAAGACCATGACCTTTTTCTTTTTTGCTGTGCATATAAGTCAATCAAAACTAGTTTGTAGTTTTGAGTTCTCAAAGGGAGAAAGATGACTTACCTCCAGGAAGGCTTCCTTTTTAGGAGAATAACCCACTGAGATGGGCCCTTTAGTAAATATACGTAAAGCAAGATCACAAGGCATTTTAACCCAGAGTTGGGCTCTAGTGAGCCAGAATCCTGGATCTGGGTTACCCTGTGCCCGCACCCATTTGTTTGGAGAAATTGGAAGTTCCCAGAGAGGAACTGGGCAAATCTGCAGGAAGGCACAAGTCTCTGTTCTCCCATTAAAAAAAAAAAGTTTTTATTACTGTATAGTACATATTAAAAGGTGCACATTTCACAAGTTCAATGATTTTGCACAAACTGAAGCATCCTAAGATCAAGAGATAGAACATTATCAGCTCTCCAGAGGACTTCCTCATGTCTTCCCTTTAGGGAGTTGTACAGGGTGGTGGCTTCAACCAGCATAGATTACTTTTGCTTGTATTTGCAATTATGGCAATTGAATCAGCATATACTCTGTTGTTTGGCTCTATCACTTGATACTATGTTTAAAAGATGCATGCTACCTATGGTCATAGTTTGTCATTCTTTTTGCTGTATAGTATTCCACCATGTGAATGTACCTCAATTTATTCATTTTGCTACTGACAAACATGTGGGTAATTCTCAGGGTTGGGACATTACAAATAGTGCTGCTAGAAACATTATAGTAGATGTCTTCAGTGAACAAATAAACACATTTCCATTGGGTGCACTCCTAGGGAAAACACATGCATATATACATATGTTCAGCTTCTGTAGGTATGGCCAAACAATTTTTTAAAGTAGATAATCTAATTTCACCCCTGTTTCATTAGTGTCCTATTGTTTCTTGCAATAAATTATCATTATATTATTACCATCTAAGGTAACATATTCATAGATTACAGGGATACTGGCTTAAAACATCACAAATTAATTTTCTTACAGTTCTGGAAGTCAGATGTCCACATTGGGTTTTACGTGATGACTAAAATTAAAGCATTGGCAGGGCTAAGTGCCTTCTGGGGGCCTTAGGGGGTAATTGATTTCCTTGCCTTTAGTCCAGTTGCTAAACGCCACCTATAGTCCTTGGCTGATGGCCTCCTAATCCATCTTCAAATTTCAATTGCTCTCTCTCTCTCTCTCTCTCAACTCTGCTTCCTTTGTCACATGTCTTTCTTTCCCTCTGCTTCCTTTGGTCTCTGACCCTCTTGCCTCACTCTTGTGAGGACCTTTGTGATTATACTGGGCCCACTAAGGTAACCCAGAATAACCTCCCATCTGGAGATCCTTAGTTTAATCACACCTGCAAAGTTCCTTTTGCCGTGTAAGGTAACCTATTCATAGATTCCAGGGATTAGGACATGAACCTCTTTGGGGAGGAGGCATTATTTAGCCTACTACACCTATTAACAGAGTGTTAGAACATGTTGGATGAATGGAGAGAGGCTGGACTGAAAAAAAATGGACAATGAAGCCATGAGATTTGATTCACCTGGGAGATCGGCGCTGTTGATCTGGGGGCTGTGCCAGGCCTGGTAGGCAGCAGAGGAGGCTGGTGCTGGAACAGCACCTTGGCCACCACCATTCTGGCACAACCAACATGTCTGGGGCAAGGGGCTTTCATACAGAGAATGACAGTCCAGTCCGTTTGGCCTGGCACCTTGCTGAGTGATATGTTAGGGAAGACAACCCTCCTTTGTGATGGTTGGGAACAGCAATAACATAATTGTGAAGAGGCCACATTTTGCCCTGGGCCAAGGCCCTGTGGTCAGTGGACTGCGCCCCCCCCCCCATGCTATGTCCCTGTCCACTCTCCAGGCTCTGGGGACTGATGTGTTTCATGACTGATGGTAGAATTGTGTGGACTGGCTACCCCAGTAAGTGAGATAAGATGAGGATGGGATGGGATGGCAGAGCCTGCTAATCTGGTCAAGCATGTCTGTGCCATCATTGTAACTTGAATATTAAAGGAAGCTGACTTTAACATTCAAGGCTTGAAGATGAGGACATAGAGTGTCTCCTTACTTCTGGTTTCACTTTAGTCCAGCAACCACACCCTTGTAGGAGATGGGATGGATGTTATTATCCCCATTTTATCAATGAGACCACCAGGGTTCCAAGAGACTCTCTGGTTTCAGGGCCCCTCAGGAAGGGAACCAAGAACAGAAGGGGCCTCAAAGCTCCTCCTGCTGTCTTTGGTGCTGCTCCATCTCCCAGGTACGTGAAATTCACTAAGACCTAAGGTTATGGGGGCCGAGAGACAGAACTGACCCACAGTGGGAAAACCAAGTTGGACACATCCACTTTGTGGCTGATAAAGTAGGATTATCTGGTTTTACCCATTAAAAATATGTTTTAGTGGGGTTTTAGAAACAAGTAAAAGTAGATGCATATGTTTGATAAGCATCCTGATCAGAAATTCCTCCATCTACTTTCTGCCTTCCAGAAATAAGCTAAACACTTTGAACTGATGAAGCTCCTCCAGGTCTCTTCAATGTTGTGATTTATACTACAATTCATTTTACTCGGTATTCAGTTCAGATCTCAAAATAGAGAGGGGATGTGTGGTTAGTCTGCAATTTTGAATTAAGAATCCATGGTTATCACCGTGGTAGTCACCATCATCATTAAAACTGCCTTCCTTTCTTGAGCAGCTTTTTTTCTCCCAGACTACTTTATTCTTCCTTTCCACTCCACACACCCCCCTTAGGTTTCTCTGCCTTGGTTACTTAACTTGGTTATTTAATAAATTCTCAAGTATATAGTCAAATCTTTGGAATCTTCTTTTACCTCTCACCCTTTTCAAATTTTGATTGACTGCTTCCTGGAACTGCTGCTCTGCTGTCACCAGGCAGTGTTCTGGGATCTACTGGATGGATCCTGTCTTACGGGTCGTGTGCCTTCCTTTTTCTTAACTCACTTCCTCTCATTTGCTGGCACATATCTCCAGTAACTTCCCAGAAGGGTATGTGGAAGGTGAAATTTTGAGTCCTTGCATCTCAGGAAATGTCTTTATTCTACACTAACACTTTTTTTTTAACTTAAAATTTTTTTTAATTTTGGTATCATTAATCTACAATTACATGAAGACCATTGTTTACTAGGCTCCCCCCTTCACCAAGTGTGCCCGACATACCCCTTCATATCACTGTCCATCAGCATAGTAAGATGCTGTAAAATCACTACTCGTCTTCTCTGTGTTGTAGAGCCTGCCCCATACCCCCCCACACACATTATACATGCAAATCAAAATACTCCCTTTCTTTTTCCCCACCTTTATCCCTCCCTTCCCACCCATCCACCATTCACCCCAGTCTCTTTCCCTTTGGTAACTGTTAGACCATTTGTGGGTTCTGTGAGTCTGCTGCTGTTTTGTTCCTTCAATTTTTCTTTGTTCTTATACTCCACATATGAGTGAAATCATTTGGTACTTGTCTTTCTCTGCCTGGCTTATTTCACTGAGCATAATACCCTCTAGCTCCATCCATGTTGTTGCAAACTGTAGGATTTGTTTTCTTCTTATGGCTGAATAAATTTTCCATTGTGTATATGTACCACATCTTCTTTATCCATTCATCTACTGATGGACATTTAGGTTGCTTCTATTTCTTGGCTATTGTAAATAGTGCTGCAAGAAACATAGGGGTGCATCTGTCTTTCTCAAACTGGGCTGCTGCATTGTTAGGGTTAATTCCTAGAAGTGAAATTCCTGGGTCAAATGGTATTTCTATTTTAAGCATTTTGAGGAACCTCCATACTGCTTTCCACAACGGTTGAACTAATTTACATTCCAACCAACAGTGTAGGAGGATTCCCCTTTCTCCACAACCTCACCAACATTTGTTGTTGTTTGTCTTTTGGGTGGTGGCGATCCTTAGTGGTGTGAGGTGATAACTCATTGTGGTTTTAATTTGCATTTCTCAGATGACAAGCGATGTGGAGCATCTTTTCATGTGTCTGTTGACCATCTGAATTTCTTCTTTGGAGAACTGTCTGTTCGGCTCCTCTGCCCATTTTTTAATTGGATTATTTGCTTTTTGTTTGCTGAGGTATGTGAGCTCTTTATATATTTTGGATGTTAACCCTTTATCGGATCTGTCATTTATGAATATATTCTCCCATACTGTAGGGTACCTTTTTGTTTTATTGATGGTGTCCTTTGCTGTACAGAAGCTTTTCAGC